ATAGTCACACTTGATTAAAGATTTTGAATACAATAATAAATTGAGTATAATTTCATATGTGGATAGAGTGAAGATGGTGTGTATACATTCTTACCTCTACTAGAGAAGTTGTCTCTGATTAACCCTTGAAACACACAAATAAAGAAAATATAATTAATTACATAGAGGACGGAGGAAGGAGATGCGGAAATCAAACTCACGTCTATTATGCATAAATGATAAAACTCATTACGCACTTTTGCGTACTCCTACTTCAATTTATCATCTAACAATAATATAGTTTATTATAAACATCGGATATGATAAGTTTTTTTTTGGACCTGTGACCCTCCGCTCTCTTTTTCTGCTTTAATTTCATTAACCTGTTCAAGGATAGAGAAGCATTCCAATATGCATCACCTACAATGACTGTACTATGAGAAGGATATGTGATTAATCTCAAAACTTGTCAATTGTCATGCCTATTTTTTAAAAGTAAGTTTGATAAATTCAAGTCAACAAAAATAATACTCGACTTTTTGGGAATTCAAAAGTCAATGTTTATAGCTGCTTTCTTCTAAACTTGGATTATATGTCTCTTCAAAATTATAAGTTGATTAAATAAAATAAACAAATAGAATCATAGCTATTTTTGTGACCATTAACATTACTTTATGGTAATTTCACATCATTACGGAATCAAAACATATTAATTAGTTTTAACAAGAAATAGTAAATCATTCTGATTCCTAGCAGTAGTCCCCATCAAAAAATTCGTTTCCCACACTTTTTTTCTTCCTACTTTCAATTGGAGTATATTTTACAATCACAAATATAGAAGAAAAACCATATTTTCCAAAAGTATTCCAACTTCTAAAAGAAAGGGAAAACTCCTACTCAGATCATTGAGTAAAATAAATTTAATTGAGATAAAAATGAAAGAATATCAAACTTTAATTTTAACACAAAATGAGAGAGGGGGGAGGGGGGTTACTATTAGACACGTGAAATAAAGTGTCACAAACGTATTTTGAGGGGGAAAAGTTTGAGAAATTAGTACTCCCTTCGTCCAACAATACTTGTTCATTATACTAAAAATAGATGTCCAACAATATTTGTCTATTTTATGAAATTCATGAATAATTTTACACTTAGTTTCTAATTTATCCTTATCATTAATTATGGTCATTTCCCTATTACATTTTTCAAGACATTGTATTTATTACTCCCCCCGTCCCATTTTATATGTCACATTTTTACTTTGCACTTGCATTAAAAAATGATGTAACTTTACCCTTCTACCCTTATTTAATTTTTTTGGAACTCAAGTTTTCAATCAATGAATATGAATTAATTTAACCAGTGAACATGAATCATTTACTTAATTTTTCTAAGTTGGTCAAATGTATGTTTTCAATGCTAATAACTCACTATGGTAAAAAAGGAACAATATGCTAATTTATGCATTGATTTTATGAAATGACAAGAATTATGAACCAACTATTTATAGAAATGAATGACATATAAAATGGGACGGAGGGAGTATATTCAAAAGGTGATATAGTAAAATTTCCTTTCTATTTATAGTTTTTTAAGGGGTGTGCCAAAGTCAATAGTGGACAACTATTGTTGGACAAAGGAAGTATTAAAAATGCATTTTTTAGAATTGATTTGATAAAATAAATAAGTAAAAAATAATAATTTTAAAGTTAGAAATCTAGTTTTTTAAAAATAGAATAACGAGTTTACCATTTATTTTTAATTAGAAGTATTTTAACTTTGAAATTTAAATCATTTTTAATACGTAAATACTTCATCTCGAAAAGCAATTTTTTTCAACACAAGTTGAATTTAGTGGGACTCCCAATACTCCTATCGAATTTTGTTATTACTACTACACTTTAGGCAAAAGCCATCTCGAGAATCTAAATTGATAATTTAGCCAAAAACAAAAATCGCCGAAAGCTTATTACGAGTTAATTTCGCCTTTTGTTAAAAACAACTATATAATATAGTATAGTATAATATAACTATGTGGTATCAATATGGATTGTGATGCATGAATAGTTTTAAGTTCGAGCCTTGAGTATAGAGAAAATCTTGTTGGAGCGCGTCATCTCTGAATGGACTGGCTTAGGCAATCCTCCTCCCTTTGAGCTAGCTTTTGGAGTGTGAGTTAGGCCCAAGACCTAATTTAACATGGTATCAGAGCAGGGATCGTCTCACCCGATGTTGGGACCCCCAAAATCAAAAATTGCCCACGCACCAGATGCTAAGCACTGGGCGTGAGGTGGGGTGTTAAAGAATGACAAAAGTCTCACATCGGTGGTTAATGAGATGAGTGAACTCCTTATAAGGCTTAGGCAATCCTCCTCGCTTTGAGCTAACTTTTGGGGTGTGAGTTAGGCCCAAGACCTAATTTAACAGTGCGCGATATAAATTTAATTATAATTTCAATGTGAGCTCCGAACACAGAGTGAAAACCAGAAAAAAAGTAAAACTATGCGTCTATGCCTTCGTGTTAGAATTACATCGACATTTGTAATACATGTACTCTACTAGTTTTTTTTTTTTTTTTTTTATCATTTATAGGATAATATATATCAGTTTTTTCATAATTTATACTTATATTATTTGTACAAATTTGTGAATTGCAAATTAATATTTCCCTTAAATTTTTGAGACCCATTGTCACCACACGTGATATTCACATCACATGAAGCAATAAAAGGGCCAAAACCTAAACCACCTTCTTTGGCTATTCACATAGCCCTTATTTCCTTTTTTCCCCTGTTTTCTCTTCATCGCCACCCATGGCCGCCGCCGCCGTATCTACCGCCTCTTCCGCTGCCGTCACCAACAAGTCTCATCTTTCATCATCCCTCGACAAACCCTTTTCCTCTCCATCCCAAAAGCTCTTATCTTTAGCCGCTAAAACCCTCCCAAAACCCTATCACCACCATCACAGAACTCTCATCACTGCCGCCTCCAAGAACCCATTAACTGACGTCGTTTCGTCCAAACCCAACCCGGATGGCCGTTCTTTTGATTCCTATTTCGATGATGACGATAAACCCCGTGAAGAGTGCGGCGTTGTGGGTATTTACGGTGACTCTGAAGCTTCTCGTCTTTGCTATTTAGCCCTTCACGCGCTTCAACACCGTGGCCAAGAAGGCGCCGGCATTGTTTGCGTTAATGATAACGTTCTCAAGTCTATTACAGGTGTTGGGTTGGTTTCTGATGTGTTTAGTGAATCGAAACTTGACCAACTCCCTGGCGATTTGGCTATTGGTCATGTAAGGTACTCTACTGCTGGTTCATCTATGTTGAAAAATGTTCAACCTTTTGTTGCTAGTTATAGATTTGGGTCAGTTGGTGTTGCCCATAATGGGAATTTAGTGAATTACAAACAACTTCGTGGTGAGCTTGAAGAGAATGGCTCAATTTTCAATACTAGTTCTGATACTGAGGTGGTTCTCCATCTTATTGCTATATCAAAGGCAAGGCCTTTTCTTTTGAGGATTGTTGAGGCTTGTGAAAAGATTGAGGGTGCTTATTCTATGGTGTTTGCTACTGAGGATAAGTTGGTTGCTGTTAGGGATCCTTATGGATTTAGGCCATTGGTTATGGGTAGGAGAAGTAATGGTGCTGTCGTTTTTGCGTCGGAGACGTGTGCTTTGGATTTGATTGAGGCTACTTATGAAAGGGAGGTTCTTCCTGGTGAGGTTGTTGTGGTGGATAAAGAAGGGGTTCAATCTATTTGTTTGATGCCTCATCCCGAGCGTAAATCTTGTATATTTGAGCATATTTACTTTGCCTTGCCTAATTCAGTGGTGTTTGGAAGGTCTGTGTATGAGTCTAGGCGTGCTTTCGGGGAAATTCTAGCTACTGAAGCTCCAGTGGAATGTGATGTTGTGATAGCTGTTCCTGATTCAGGTGTTGTGGCAGCACTTGGTTATGCTGCTAAAGCAGGGGTTCCATTTCAACAAGGTTTGATAAGGTCGCACTATGTTGGTAGGACATTCATTGAGCCATCGCAGAAGATTAGGGATTTCGGAGTGAAACTCAAGCTCTCACCAGTTAGGGCAGTGTTGGAGGGGAAAAGAGTTGTGGTTGTGGATGATTCGATCGTTAGAGGGACAACCTCGTCCAAGATTGTGAGGCTGTTAAAGGAGGCAGGGGCAAAAGAAGTTCATATGAGAATTGCAAGCCCTCCGATTATAGCTTCTTGTTATTATGGAGTGGACACTCCTAGCGCAGAGGAGTTGATATCTAACAAAATGAGTGTGGAGGAGATTAGGGAGTACATTGGATCGGATTCACTAGCCTTTCTCCCAATTGAGAGCTTGAATAAGTTGTTAGGCAGTGATTCTAAAAGTTATTGCTATGCTTGTTTTTCAGGAAACTATCCCGTCGAGCCAACAGGCAAAGTTAAAAGGATTGGGGACTTCATGGATGATGGATTAAGTGGGGATATGGACTCCATTGATGGTGGTTGGCTACCAGGAAGTAGTAAAGTTCAGAAGAAGACCATCTTGAATGAAGTTAGAACCAGTTAAATTTTACATGTTGCTTTAGTTTTTGCTTTGGATTTTTCATGCTTTAACTATAGAAAATTCAATGCCTTTTAAGTTTCCTTTTTTCTCCCCCTCCAAGTCATTCTTCTGTACTTGTATTTGGGATGTTACATCAGATTATCAACTAATCAGAATCGTTAATTATTGGACCATAGTATTTGATTTGCCAAATACATCATTACTGTTCACAGAAGAAATAACCATAAATGGACCTGAACAATTAGGCAAAATATTCAAGCAACCTAACAAGAAGGGAAACTTAGGCGTGACTGGTTAAGTTCGAGTTGTGTAAACAACTATGAATTGACAGTATCCATATTTATGTCTAAAGTGGTCTGCTTTATAACATACATGTCTTTGAACTATGTATCTCTCTGTTGGAAGAAAAGTTCATTGACATGAAAGCACACCTAAGCATACACAGACTTGACACAACTTCTATCACTACACTTCTTTTTTCTTCTCCAAGGATAGCGATAATGCTTTGCTGCTTAATCCAGAGATGGAAAGCAATGAAGCTCGGCTAGGATTATCATAGAATGGATGTTGATTCCATTCCATGGCATCACCAATTGTATCATCTATAACACTCCAACTTTTTCCCAATTTTTGCTTGCAAGAGAACCCTTTATCTGAGGCCATGATTTGGTTCTCTTTGTTGTGGCAATCAGTAAAGCCAGAATTGCTTCTCAGGTACCTCTCGGAAATGGCTTCTTTCATGTTTTCTTCGCTTGAAACAGGACGTTTGCAGAAACTCCCAAATCCTTTTATTCCAACTGTCACTTTTCGCGCTCTTCCCCTCTCCTTTTTCAGGAAACTCTTGTCTTCCAATAGTTTTATAACCCTCTCTGACATGTTTCTAACACTTGATCTCCAATTAAACCTGTTTTAATGGAAAACGAATGTCAGTCATAGATAATGGAATCATCAAAGATTTGACCTTTACCAATTGTGTCATTAACTCACGGAAAACAAAGAGATGAAAGTATAAAGACCAACTCTTTTTCATCAACATATTGGAAACTTTCCATCTGTCTGATGACATCTTCATCACTTTGAAATTCCTCTGCAATACTTTCTGGTCCATGAGTTAACAGGTATTCTAATAACATCACAGCCTTATAAGATGATCTCCAATTTGTTCTATCAAACTTCGACAACCTGTTTTCGAGTAAAGAACAGAAAACACACACCAAATCAAGGAAAGTACAAATAAGATCAATCACTTAGTAATGCAACAAAATAAAGAAAACCTGTTATGCAGAATATCAACTATCCTCCAATAATCATCAATTTCAAAGGCTGCACGCGATATTAGTTAGTCTCATGGTTTGCATGTTTGGTGCAATCAAATCTCCAGTTGTAGCTTCTTCAGCCAGCCTTCATTTCTCATCAATAAAGACATGTCATTCATAATAAGAAACAATGCTATGAAGTTACCAATTTCAAAAAAAAAAATAAGAAACAATGCTATGAACTAAAAACTACTAGAACTAACTACATAATTTATCTGTCGCTAATTCCTTTTTTCTTTTGAGTAGTGGAGAAGATAAAGGGAAGTTACAGTTGAGTATGAGTAACATCTGTAAGCACGAGTCGAGCAGTCTTGATTTTCTGTTTGAGGAAGAAGGAAGCCTGCCTTTTAAATTCATGTAACAAAGGAGAATCCATTTCCCTCAGTTGTAAGTATTACTAATTTTTGTTATGTGGATGATCAACTGAAATGCTTTTTATTATAATCCACATGCGATGGAAATGCAACTTTACTTGCATTTTCTTTTCCAAGTGAGAAGGCCACAAATAAAGTTACAAGGTTGAATCAGCTTTAGTCATTCTTCAACTTTCTTTTTTGCCTTTTGGATGAAGAAAGATTTTTTTTGAACTATGTCAAAATGTAACCCCTAAGAAATACAATTTAGCCCGAATCAACCGACTTTATCAAGAAAGATTACTTTTTCGAGGGGGGGGTCTTAATATCGAACGAGATAGTGCTTTTTCAACTCCTCTCAAATTTGTTGCCTAACACATGTGCCTTGGCTTAAAAGAATGAACTGATATGACTCTATTCAGTATTATGACTAATACAATGATATTAATAAAGCGATAATACATGGATAAGAATGGATATAGACAAAAATTGTCCTTAACACACCAAATCAAACAGTGATATACAACAGTCGCAAGAAATCACACCTTCACTTATATACTTGATAACTTAGATCAAATAGAGCTTTCTATCATACGTTTTTCTTTTCTTTTTTTCCCACGATAGCGATATTCCTTTGCTGCTTCATCCAGAGGTGGAAAGCAATGAAGCTTGGCTATGATTATCTCTGATATCACAAAATGGATGTTGATTCCATTCCATGGCATCACTAATTGGATCATCTATAACATTCTTGTGTATTATAAGAGCATTTGCCAATCTTTGCTTGCAAATGAACATAGTCTCTGAGCCCATAATTTGGTTCTCCTTGTTTTGGCAATCAGTAAACTCAGAATTGCTTCTCAGGTACCTCTCGTCTTTCATGCTATCTTCCCCTGAAACAGGGCGATTGCAGAAACTCCCGAATCCTTTTATTCCAACTGTCACTTTTCGCGCTCTCTGCCTCTCCTCTTTCAGGAAACTCCTGTCTTCCAATAGCTCTATCACCCTCTCTGACATGTTTCTAACACTTGATCCCCAATTAAACCTGTTTTAATGGGAAAAAAATTCAACAATCATCAAAGATTTGATCTTTACAAACTCCGTCTCTAACTTACTAAAGGCATGGGAAACAAAGAGATGAAAGTATAAAGACCAACCCTTTTTCATCAACATATTGAAAACTTTCCATCTCTCTGATGACATCTTCATCACTTTGAAACTCCTCTGCAATACTTTCTGGTCCATGAGTTAACAGGTATTCCAATAACATCACAGCCTTATAAGATGGTCGCCAATTTCTTCTATCAAATTTCGACAACCTGTTTTCGCGTAAGAACTCATAAAAAACTAAAAATCCCAAATCAAGGAGAGTACAAATAATATCAACAAGTAATGCAAAATTGAAAAAAAAAAAAAAAAAAACCTCTTATGTAGAATATCAACTATCCTCCAATAATCATCAACTTCAAAGGCCGCACGCGATATTAGCCTCATGGTTTGCATGTTTGGTGCAATCAAATCTCCAGTTGTAGCTTCTTCTGCCAGCCTTTAAATTAAATTTTGTCATTAATAAACATATATCATTCATAAGATGTAAAAGAAAGTATGAAAAAAAACTGGAATTTGCTACAAAATTTATGTGTTGCTAATTCCTGTTTTTTTGAGTAGTGGAAAAGATAAAGGGAAGTTACAGTTGAGTATGAGTAACATCTGTAAGCGCGAGTCGAGCAATCTTGATTTTCTCTTTGAGGAAGAAGGAAGCCTGCCTTTTGAATTCATGCAACAGAGGAGAATCCATGTTATATTTTGTTATTGGGATAATGAACTGAAATGTAGTTAGAAGAAATTCTTGAATTTGACTGTTTTTTATTAAGTCCACATGAGATGGAAATGCAACTACTCCATTAACTTAACAAACTAACAACTACTCTATAAAGTGGATTTGCGTATGTAATGTCACATTGACACTACTGAAAACATTAGGAAGTATTCAACATTTGACAATTATATACATATTATAAACCGTAACGTCACACTGGAATTTTCCATTATTTTTTCAGGCTGTCTTGTCTTCACTGTATGTTTGCATATATCAAAATTAAAGACGTGGAGGCATTGGGCCCTGGGCGGAGGTAGCATATTGATTTGGCAGAACTCAATAGCTTCGGTCTAAATCTTGCATACGTGTTAAAAAAGTCAATAATATGTACAAAAGTTTAATTCAAAACTCAATTACTCATAATTGAGGCCATATCATAATTGATAGAATTCATAAGTTCGAATCTTGGACCGACTCTTAGATGAGCAATTTCGGTCAAGACATCAGCACAGTAATACATTACCTTTCAAAGTCAAATAGAAGTGTTTGGAATTATAGCAGTTAAAAATAGGTGTAATACCACCAGCTTGAAATGCAAGCCGTTAATCCCGTCAGAAAATATATAGGCAATGCTTAGATACCTAAAAGAGTAATTAAAGGAAGAAAATACAGACAAGGTATCATAGTTTTTATTTTTTAATAAAGGTAAGTGAATAAAAAAAACAGTTTACCTAAATGACCAACCATCTCAGTACATTAATTAAGGAATTCAATTGATTAGACTTAATTGAAACGAGTATCTTATAAAACTATACATCATGTCTTCTACAAATACAATTCACGTTTCCAAAATGAACAATTTTTATAAGTTAACCAAGAAGAATGATCTTCTCAGTTGAGTATCAATAAAAAATCTGTATATAGAAGGAAACAATAATATAAACAAAATCATAAGGGCTATATAAAAGCCCTAACAATAAGCTATTATGAATTGACATATCGATTTCGTACTTGATGATAAATAAGCCACAAATCATGAGAGGAGGAAGGTCGCTAAGAGCTCAGCAAAAATTAGAATCAGACGCATCAGTAATAACAACAAAATGGTCTTAGCCGTTCTCTGCTCTGTCATAAGCCTTGGACTTGTGTTTTGGTGCAAACGAATAGCCAGAAGGAACCTTTCCGAGTACCAGCTCGGAGATCCTTACCTGTCGAGGGAATATATATAGCACATTACAATGAGAGAAGGATAAATGTTTGAAGTGCTTAACAATACTATGTGTACGAACAATACCCAGTCAGCAGCAGAATCAGAGGCCATTAGTGTCTCTAGGTCATCCCTGCCGTAGTATGAGGGTGATCGCCAATTTATTTTTTGTGGGATAATATCTAACAGGCCAACTGGAATGTACCGACATGTGTAGCCAAGCCACTCCAACAAAAAGTGTCTGGTTGTTTCTACTCCTGCGCTCATTTGGTGCAAACATTAGGTATAGATAATGATAATTTATCTACAAGAATTTCTCAGGTAGAAGTATATCGCAAACAAAGCAAACTGCAACCAGAATAAAATGTATGGAGGAAAAACCCCATCTATTCAAGACAAACAATGGAAGGTTCTCCCAGCATACATGTAGCTCTTGCAATTACGTCTTCACAGATATTCAAGAAAAGAATGAATAACCATAGGATGTACAGGATGCATACATAAATTACAGGCTAGTGTAAAATGGATAACAAATTTAAAAAGAAGCATCACAGCCTCACATTTTTCAATGTCCAATCTAACAGGACGCTTCCCTAATATATCGGACAAGTGAACCTATTAGAAGAATGTTATAATTTAAGAATGTAGATAACAAGCAGTATCAATTCCATTTATCCTGGCTATAAAGGGCCAGATACTAAGCACAGTTCAGCAAGTTTGCACATGCCTGGAACATATTAGCGTAAATATAGCAGTTCCACATGTTATCTTATCTCAATTTCTTATATATATATGATGTAAAAGAACAAACATGTGATGATGTAAAGGCGACAACACTCAGTTCTATGAGTAAGCATGGATGCAAATATAAACATGATAGCTCATCTTTATGGCATGCTTCCAATAGATTGCAACAATTAACGTCGGGTTGATTGACAAGACAAACTTCTTACTGTACGATAACATTACTCACATAACTATATACCTTTCGAATCAGAACCCCAGTGTTGAAGGCCAAACCGTGCATAATCCTTCAAGATATCTAGCCGCTCGCCAGATGTAATGTCCCAGTGCCTCTGTTCCTTGATTTCGGTAAATATCCAAGGCTGCAAAATTATGATGTGCTGTTTAGTGCAGATAAACTCTAAGAGGCACATATAGAATGCAACAATAAAATTTTACACAATGGAAATAGAAGAGCAGAAAACATTATACTACTAACCTTTACTAATGCACCTCGAGCAATCATACATGTAGAAAGTTCAGGACACTCAGTTTTGTGGTTGTTCCAGTCTACGTAAGAAAATACATCACCATTTCCAAGGACCTGTAATGACTTGGGAGCCTTTCGCACGCATTGATACACGTAATCCCAGTCAGCAGGCTTACTGTAGCGCTGTTGACGTGATCGGCCATGTATGGTTACTGCAGTTGCACCCCAACTACCCATATCTGCAATTAGAGAATCAATGCGATTTTTCCCCTCAAAATAAGCAGTTCGTACCTAAAGCAGGAAAACGGTGTACTGTCAAGCATCTCCATAAATTCCTTAAGAAACCAAGGGCATGTGTGAACAAGATTGTGAACAATATAAACCCAGAAAATCAATAAATTACTCCACAGCTGCCATTGGGGTGGGGACGCGGAATGTCATATCATAACGCCAATTAATTATCTATGCCCAGGTATGTTGATCTCCAAGAGTTACAAAATAAAAGGGAAAGCAGTCCACCCTACCTTGATAGTTACTGGTGTACCAACTGTCGAAGAAGCAGCTTCTACTACACTCTTCATCCGCATTGGTTTTGTAAGAAGAGCTGATCCAGCACCCTTGTTAACTACAACATCAATTGGGCATCCCATGTTAATATCAATGAAATCCACAGAGCATTCTTGTTCTATAAGCTCAACTGTCTTTGTAACAGTGTCTGGATATGACCCACAAATCTGAACACCAAACAAATTTTCGGACGAATGCCGTCTCAGCAGTGCCCACTCAGCTGCTTGGCCCTGCTTTAGCCATAATACGTGAATTAATAGATGGTTAAGTTACCTCAGGACCCATGCCACCCATGCTCGCATGTCATAAATCATCAAATGAACTTACAGGAAGTCTCAAATAGGGAGAAGGGTTCTAGAACTTAAAACAACCAAGCAAAGAAGAAGGTCATTTGAGATGGAAAAGGTGGACAAGAGGCAAGGACATGATTATCATAGAAGCCAAAGCTACGTATCCATAACTGAACAAGTTGTGTACCCACCATACAAAACCATTGCAGATGTTTCTCTAAACTTGAGGATGAGGTAGGGAACACATGAAGATTTATTTCTTGTGGAAACCAAAAGTAAAACACACACATATCCAATTCAGTTGCATTTGAATGAACTCACGTGTCAAAGGGTTAACAAGAAAATATATGCAATTTTTATAATAGCACTCCTCAGCTTACTTCCTAACCATTAAATTACCACAGAAAGTTTTTCACTGAGCGTCACTCTCATTCATTCTATCTTGAGGCATTCATGAATAATTTTAATGCTAACTTGTGTTTATCCCATCAATAATTAGCAGCGACTGACCTGCAAGAGATTTGTGCACATTGCCATCTCTCCACATGTTACATCAGCTCCTAGCACCTTGCAAACTCTACGAAAAGGCAGATTCCCAACTGTGGTCAAAGGAGCAAGATAGAGCTTGTCTCGAAAATCAATAAGTTTTTTTTCACGGGGGTGCAATTTAAGGCTTTTATCAGAATCTGTCATCGTATCAGCAGTTGGCTCTGATTTATTCACACCAAAGTTGCCGTCTGGAACTCCCCCTTGAACACTTAAACCTGTCAGAATAGATAATATCAGGTTCATAAGCTTTTATCTCTCCATAAGAAACAACCTGAATGCTCATAAAGGAATAAAGCATCTAACAACCACTGCTAACTTGGGAGGAACAAATTTCATTGACAGATGACTTTGCCTTCTTTAAAGGTCTAGCGTCATCAGCCAAATTATTTCCATCTACATTATCTTCTGGTGAAATGGAAGGACTGATACTATCATTAGCAACTACATTGCTGTCTGTTTTGGTGTCCGTAGCTGGTTCTTTTGGTGCGACTTGGCCATTTTCCCCATTATCAGCCAATGTTTTATCTTTAGGATTGCCCTGTAATAAGAAGTTATAATGAACAAGAGAAACAATTCACAGAAAAAAAATCATACAGGTATGAGATTGCTTCCTAATGCTCAAACACCTTGTTCATCAGGCTAAAATTGAAGTTTGTCTAATAAATAGTCACTTTTCCCCCCAAATTTGATATTGAAGAATGGAAGAAGAAATGGCGAGCTGCACAAACCTTAAGTCCAAGAAGTTTGAGAGTGACTTCAGCCTTGGGAAACTTCATTTTATTTTTCCACAGAAGTTTCTGAGTGTCCTTATTGAAAAAATTTAGTTCAGAACTCTTCCCAGGCAAATTCTCAGTTGGAGCTGAAACATCGTCTCTGTGAGTCCCTGCAAACCTACAAGCCAATCCATAAGAACATGGCCCTTCATAAACCAGAAACGGGCAGCTACCCTCTATATCAGCTGGTTTCTGCACTCAAAACAACAAAGATTGTAATTTTATGGCATTCCATAAAGCATAACACGATCAGAACGATAACAAAGATCTTATTTCTTGGTTTACCACAGCTTTAAAAGCTTCCACATCATGACTAAACCGACATTTATCACCATATGGACACGCACTAACTTTTCCTGATTTGGCCACCCCAGGACAGAGATGCAATGGAGATTTTTGTTCCTGCAATCATTTCAAACATTTCATTTGCAGAGAAAAAAATAAACTCAAGTTGGAATCAACTATGTGCTAGTCGGGTGGGCTATAAATGTCATCTAGCTCTATTGTATTTAGACTACTTCATTCCAATACTGGTAAGTAACTTTTCTTCCAATTCAATTCGCCTAATAAAATTAAACTTTTTTAATATATAATGAAAATCACCTCACGGCGTTCACGCTTAATTTGGCGTTTGGATTTTTTGTCCTTAAGAAGAGGAGCTCTTTCGGCCTCAGCTGCATCATCATTTTCGACTCCGACAGTAGTGTTGTTGCTGTTGCTATTGGTAGAAGGTCTGGAAGGTGGAGGGCGAAGATACTCTCTCTTTACAGGAGCTATGGATTTAGCAACCAACTCTTCTGGGGTTCTAAATTCTTGACTCACTCCACCGTCGTCGGCGTTCGATGAAGGGGGTTGCAGTGGAGTTCCCAACTGCTCCACCGCTGTTGCGGTTGCCGCCGGCAACTCGTCCATTAGGGTTTTGGTTTCCATGAAGTGTTTTAAGAGGCGGGGTTTTAAGATTACGTTTGCGGTTTTAAAGTCCCTAGTTCCGGTTAACTGTATTTTATATTTGAAATCAAAATTATCCATCTATGTTTTGGACCATAAATATCCTTAAAAGTTAACTTTGTCATATGTACGGACATGACAGTCTAACATGGCAAAAATCTCTTCTTCTCAATTATGTTGTTCTTCCTTGTTCACATCTATCACAAAAAAGAAATATTAAAAAATATCAAAATAGTTTTTTCATTGTTCTTATTTGAGTTATTGTTTGGACTTTGAAATTTCAATTTTGAAGTGCACTGAACTTCGTTTGAGATAGCAATTGTGCGGAGGCTTATCTAAGGGGGGTCACCGAGTTCACATGAACCCATGGTCCCCTCCCGAGATTATATAATAGTGGTGTTATATTTTTAAAAAAATATTGAAATATAGATGTGTGAACCCACACTCGGAGTATCACATAACGCGATTATGACTGGGTGCACCTCTCTCCGAGAGATTAGAAATTTAAATTTTATATTTATCTTATTTTATTTTTTGTTCTAAAATTAGATAACACTTCTCTAAGTGGTAACTGGTATCACTTTTGGGATTTTAATTAATTCAGTATATATATTAATTTTAGACCTATAATTTAAAAAAATTAACGATTTTCAGTAGTAAGAACCTAATTGTCGAACCGATCAAATTTATATCATAGATCAACCATTTTATAATAGTGCACCCATCATCTCAAAATCCTGGATACACTTCTGCAGTTGTGTGTTAAATGATCGAGTTCATTGTTTGAGTTTTGATGTCATCGAATCCGAGGTTGAAAATTTAATTCTCAAGGTTGAAAGATGTTGAAAAACTCTTGAAGTCTTTCTTTTTGTGTTGAAACTTTAAACGGCTACTTATTTGAAAGCTTGTTGGTGAGAGATTTCTAACTTTTTTGAAGTGCAAAAATTTGAAGAGATTTAATTGAATGTTACTAAAAATTGCTCGGATATTGTAGTTGAAGCTGGAAATTGACATTTAACAATTGATTTCTTAGTTTGAAGATTGCTATATGAAGATTTGAGTTGAAATCTAAAAAAAAAATTAAAAAATATATGAAACAGTTCTAAAAAGCTTGAAAATCTAAAAATCGATTTTGTGAATCATGACCCAAAATCCAAACAATGAACTCGATCCTTCAACACGCAATTACACTTTCAAACAAACTTCAGCACACTTTGAAATTGGAATTCCAAAGTCGAACAACAACTCAAACAAGAACAATGAAAGAATTATATTTTATTTTCTTTTTGTGGTAGGGATGAACAAGGAAGAACAACATTACAACATTATTGAGAGGAAGGTATTTTTGCCATGTTGGACTATCTGGGTGGACTGCATGTCAGCTCTAATGGCAAAGATAACATTTTAAGGGTATTTGTGGTCCATAACATAGATGGTTAGGGTAGTTTTGATCCCAAACATAACTAAATGGTATATATTGGCTATTTTGAATAGTTTTAGGGTAATTTTGACCCTTTTTCGTTTTATAAATGAATATTTTCCGGAAAACAATACTACACTTTCAATATCAGAGCCAAAAGGGCAAAAAAATTGAGCAAAATACACTTTCAAACAAACTTCAACACACACTTTGAAATTGGAGCTCCAAAGTTCGAACAACAACTCAAACAAGAACAGTGGAAGAATTATATTTTATTTTATTTTTGTGATAGGGATGAACAAGGAAGAACAACATTATTGAGAGGAAGGTATTTTTGCCATGTTGGACTATCTGGGTGGACCGTCATGCCAGCTCTAATGTCAAAGATAATATTTTAAGGGTATTTATGGCCCATAACATAGATGGTAAGGGTAGTTTTGATCCCAAACATAACTAAATGGTATATATGGGCTATTTTGACTAGTTTGAGGGTAATTTTGACCCTTTTCTGTTTTATAAATGAATATTTTCCGGAAAGCAATACTACACTTTCAATATCAGAGCCAAAAGGGCAAAAAAATTGAGCAAAATTTTCCAAAGGGCAACAAAAATTGAGGATCAAACCAAATGGGCAACATTTGAATAGATGTTGTTAAATCGTTGGTTGGAAGGCGCATGCTGACATGTGTCTTGTAAGGCGCATGCTAAATGTCTTGTAAGGCGCGTGTCAACATGCGCCTTACAAGACACATGTCACCGTGCACCTTCCAATCAACGATTTAACAACATCCATCCTTTCATCCAAATATTGCTCTTTCGATTTGATCCTCAATTTTGTTGCCTTTGCTCAATTATTTTGCCCTTTTGGCTCCGGACTCTGCTATTCACCCTCTCTTACGAGATTCAAAACTAATAAACATATAATATTATGAATTATTATTTTTAATTTTCATACCTGTAAATATATAGTACTAACTTTTATAACTCATTTGTTACGGAATTTCTAAAGTCTAGTATTAACTATAAAATTTTATTCATGATTTACCTATGAACTATTAAAGAACATTAAGTAATAGCATGTTTAGATTCATATTTAAATGTATTGATATAAGCTTCACAATACAAGGGATCGTTTGATACGAGGATACAAAAGATCATTTAATATAAGTAATAACCGATAATAATTGAGATATATGTAGAAATATTTTATAACTAATCTCATAAGATAAAGAGATGAAAAGGGAAAATGATTAAAAACGAAATTAAAAAAAAATGTCAGAAGTGGGATTTGAACCCACGCCCTCCTACGAAGACCAGAACTTGAGTCTGGCGCCTTAGACCACTCGGCCATCCTGACTTTTTGATGAATATTTTTGTAACATATTTATATATTAGCAAACACATGTCATACAACTAATTGCATATGGAGTTTCAGAAATAGATTATGTACTTCGTCTTGCATCTATGATGTGATGTAAATACGCGAGGCTGGTGAGTCTTATACTCTTGTTTATACATTTTGAATTTTAAACTTCCGATCATGTGACCACTTTTCAAACTTCAAAAGTTAGTTATTTGTGTGAATCAATGTGAAGTTACAAGTTTGAGATGGCACATTTTGGCAGGAAATATACATTCCGTTCATATATTCGAACGTGGTTAAAAGAACATATGCGCCAAGAAACAAAACAAAACAGGATAGGATGTTATTCTACATATTCTTTTCTCATTTCTTCCCATACGAATAACTTGCATGATTTTGATGGGTATAGGACGAATCTAGGAATAAAATTTAACTTATTACTTCAGAAAAAAGCACTACTATGGGTGTGTTCCATACCTTAAGTCGACATCTTACAAAAATATTATTCTAAAAACATTTGTATATAATCTAGATAATTACGAACGGAGATAGTGGGTTGGGGGTGAGGACCACAATCATTGTAAAATGCCATCAGAGAAAGAAACAGAAGAATTACTAGCCAAAGTTGTAACTCGAAGGAACATGAAGAAGGCAAATTTGAATTAAACTTCCATAATAACAAAACGAGTCAAGTTCATATGACCTTGAATTCAATATCCTTGTAGAACAAAAAAAAAAGAACCAACTGTTGTATACATCACAAGACTCTTTGTGACTAGTAAATCCAATGAACATGCATGTCCTATAGATAATAAATACCAAGACTTGGTGTGTTTTGTTGTGAATGCAGAACTAAATGAATGAATGCATTGAATGATTATGAAAACACTTGCAACATCTATCAACAAACTAATATAAAAATTACGAAGATCGGATATTTCCCAAAAGCTACTACTTTGATTCATGCTTTGAAGTTGTAGAGCTGTTAAGTTGTTGTCGTGCTTGAGCATGTTGTTGTTGTTGTTGCTGCTGCTGCTGTTGCAACTGATGCATGTTTAGCTGATTAGATTGTTGCTGCTGTGACTGGAACATCTGAGGATTTAGAGATAGCTGCTGAAACTTGGAAGCGTCTGCACTAAGCTCTGCGGTTGCAATCTTCAAGCGTTGTACTTCAGCAGTTAATGCTTCATTTAGAGCTGTCATAGCAAACACTATTAGGTTTCATATTTGTCTTCTATAATACCAAAGAACCTCACAAGCATAAAAATACACAAAGCATCTGGCCTGTTCTCTATTAGCATTGAGGGAAACAGCAGACAACATAGAAGCCTAACATCATCAAACCCCCACCCCCAAATAAGCAGAAACAAAAATAGATGGAAAATTGAAGCATAGACTGATGCTACACCTACATTTGCAACTGATTCTATCCACCAAAACATGACGATGGTTTCACAGATTCCTCTAATTTAAACAATCAATGTAACATGCAATGGTATAGTTAGTTACAAAGATAAAGTTTATCAGATTTTCATTAGTTAAGACAGCAAATAGTATGCACAAACTACTTTTTTTTTTTAAAACTGTCTGCACAAACTTCACTTTTCAGGGTGATATCTCATTCTATTTTTTGATAAACCTTTTAAGGGTGATATCTCATTCTTAAAAGCCAAGAGTAAGTGAATCGATTTCTAGAATTTTTTTTTGATAATTAGCAACATAGGGAGTCATAGATGAAACATGAGCTGACAAATACATGGTCATAGATCACAGAAGCAAGATTAATACCATCACGAAGTTGAGCTTGCTGTTCCATGGCTTGCAAACGAAACTTCAGTTCACTATTGTGGCTTGTTAGCCCAGTCGCATCTCTCTGAATGCAAGTACAAGATATCGTTAAGCAGTGATAATACAATGATTAGAAGCATTAAACAGGACAATGTTGAAAAGTTTATCACCTGCAAGAGGGTCAATTGAGCAGATAATGTGGTGGCTTCAGTCTGCAATGTCTGAACCTTGTGTTCTAACTCTGCAATGTATCTCATCTTTCTTTCTTTAGAACGAGCAGCAGATTGACGGTTGGCTAAAATCCTAGAACAACAAACAACAAAATAGGGAATGTCAGCTGCAAAGCAGAGGAATGATATTGAAAACGCAAATAGATGCATCACTTCAAAGGGAATTTGACCTTTTGGCTCGTTTTGGATCTGCTAAAGCTATCTCTGCAAGTTTTTCATTTGCCATAATTTTCTTCAATTCAGCTCCACTAAATTCACCATTTCCAAATTCCAAACTGAAACTGTTTGAATTTCCATCAAGTGAATTGGTTGGTGAGAGTTGGCCTGGGCGTGGTCCAGGAGATGGAGGCAACTTTGGTGAATCATCAATGAAGTTTAACTTCCCCATAAAACTATCCATCGAAAGACTCCTGTAGTGTCTAGTGGTCGGAGCAATATCTGCCACAGCACTCCTTTTGACCCCTTCCCTCTTCTGCATACTGCCGCTGCTGCTGTCATTGACACTGCTTGTAGCTTCATTATCACTGCTATCACCACCATTCGTCTTTGTACCACTCGCTCTACTATCTAAATCTTCACGGTTCTCAATACCCAGCTTCTCATCAGTTCCCGAAGAGTTAAATGCATCAATGTTGTCCAAATTCATATACGCAGAAAACAAGTCATCCACAACTTCTCCTTCGGATTTCCTCTCACCCATCCCTTCAACATTGTTATAATCATTTCCTCTTTCCCACATAGATTCACGTTTAACCAACTGAACTGGTTTACCACCCGAATTATCCCTTGAAGGAACTGACCTTTCAAGAGCACCAGGACTCCTTAACGGAACAAGTGGTGGCGAGGACTGCATTATAGCAGAAAAACCGAATGGTATATCACTATTAGACCTCCTATGAGCCTTACGAGGAGGAAGACTCTCCCCTGCCCTTGATGAATTACACCTAGAGAAAGGCGTAGGCGGCAATAAAGAATGTGAATTGCCATCCTGATCACCCATTGAGACATCAGCAGATATCGGGTCAGACATAGACGTGGATGGGGATTCCCTATACGGTGAAGGGCTCAAGGGTGGCAAGGAATCCAGTGAGAAAAACGCTGGTTGTGATAAAGATCGCGAATGCGATGGCCCTGCACTAGTAAAGTTCTGCATACCCATTTGCTGATTCCCTGGCCTGGTTACAGGGATCTGAGAATATGGTGAAATAGGGGGCATTTGCGGGTGAGAAGGCGGTATACCTATTCTTTTACTATTTTCAACACCAAAATTGGGAGAAAATTGCCTCATTTGACCCCTAAATTGAGAGGTTGTCAACTGGGGTATGTCCAATTGGTTCATCGAAATAGGTTGAAGTTGTTTAGGAAGTGAAGAAGATGATGTCCCAAATGATGATTGAAGTCTCTGGACCATATCACTATTACCTTCGTCATTGTCACCAGCCATTTCTTTTTCCCCAAATTTCAACTCTACCAGTCAACTAAAAAAAACCCTTTCAACTTTACCAAAATCCAACCTTTACAGTTCTGTTACACCTGAATTTTCAAAGCTCATCAATTTCATAAAACCCCAAAACAAAAAACAATGCAAAACCCATTACACAAACCCCCAAAAAGTACCAATCTTTAACATAAAAATCAACAAATCATTAGAAACAAAGAACTGGGTATTCATCAAGAAAACGAAATGGGTAACAAAAAAATTGAGTCTTTGACAATACCTGAGTGTAAATCCACTATTTTCAACAGAAGATGAAGAAGACGCTCCTCTATTCCTCTTTGTGTGTACTTTTTTTCCTTGTAATACTGTTTTTTCTGTGATATTTTTCTTGTTTCTCTCTCTCTCTATCTCACTGTTATCAACGAAGATGACTACTTACAACTACTATAATTACACGGATTTCATGACAAGAGTACTATACTTTCTACTACTACTTGAAAGACGCGTGAATTTAATATGAATTTCAATTTCATTTGCATTTGCATTTCAATTTGAATTTCATTCCGACTGCATTTATCCAATCTTCTTCTTTTTTTCTCCCTCTATCACCGCAGATTATGTAGCAATGAATCTCTCTCTTTTTGTTCTTACTTATTGTATTTTTCTTTTTTTGGTCTTAAAATAAAAGATTTCTTTTTCCTTTTTTGGTGTATAGTCCAATTTAAGTACAATATTAAGACACGTCCGTAGCTAGTTAGAGTTATCCATGTATTTATAAGATAAGAATTAGTTATATGTATCAATTATTTCACTTTCAAATAATGCATATTCATATATTAAATTTCTTAATAAGTTATATATGCACTCTTATTGATTATGCGAATTTCTAAATTAGCAACTCATATATTATATTACCTATCAAATTCTAATGTAAGTAGTATAAATTATACATAAATTAATATTTACATCAATAACTTATTTATTATCGACCTATCAAAGGAAGTGCAATCTCTTAGAAGAGCGTGTGGGATACTCTCTTTTGTAGAGCGTGTGGAATACTCTTCTTTGATTAGAGATTGAATTGCAATTGTCATTGAAAGTTTGGACTTGAGTTCACAAATAACCATTTTCTTTGTCCTTGATATTCAAAGTTTCATCTTATTTTGGGGGTGTAATAATCTTGGTAGATATTTATTCATATCGAGCATTTATATAAAATTAATAAATATAAAATATATTTTTTATATATGTTTATTACTTGACTATGGTTGAATGATAGATTAATATATGAACTACTCTTTAAGTTTATTATTAAATTTTATTTTAAAATATTTAAATTATGTCTTGTTCCAATTGAACATATGAACGCATGAGAAAATATTTTTAATAGATACTTTTGATTTAAATTCTATAAAAAAAAATGGGTTTGTTAACAAACATTTATCACTAGTTAAGTTAATCAATAAAAAATATATTATTTTCTTTAATTATTCACATCAATCTTAATTGAAATAAACATGCGGTTTTATAATTTATGCATATAAGTAAAGGAAAGTAACAGAACTTTTAAGTGTTTAAATTATTTGCTTAATGCGTGATTAGGAATATGATTAAACGTTTTTGTAAATTTGAACTAAAGGTGTTTATATATAGAAATGTCATATTACGTCTGCTCAATTGAAATAAATTATAGTTTAAGTGTCTAAATTAATTTTTTTAAAAGTTTTCAATATATTAAGCCTAAATAATATGTTATTTTTACTCTTTAACATTAACTTCATTAAATTAATGTAAACATACTATAGATTAAATATTTATCATATGATCCTACTTCAATATTTACCACTAAAATCATATTCCTTTTTTAGAGATTTTATTGGATTGTCAATAGATATAGAAAAATATAAAGTAGTGTTTGAATTTTAAAGAGTCTGCGTTGTGAAGTATTTTAAAGCTACAAATTGTGTTTCATGTTTTATATTTTCTTGTGACTCAATCAAAAAATCAACTCGATACGATTACAATCTAAGATCATATATGAAAACATAAATTTATTACTTTCGACCTTTGTGATACACTTCAACACTTTCACCACACATAATAATGAAGCATTTAGAGCATGAATTTTATCATATGTATGTGAAATTAGAATGTAAGAAAATGGTACATTTTCTATATTTCTCAAAGCGTAATATTATTGAAAAGAAAATATTAGTAAATATTGCACTCTATTTTCGGTTCTTTTTAAGTCAAATTGTATTAATTTCTGTCATATATTGTCAAAGTTTGAATATATATTGATTAAATACTGATAGTAGTAAATAAATTTATGTAACACGAAAGCTCTTCTTCCTTTTTCATGATTAAAGAGAACCATTTTGCATTTTTTAGAACTTTACAATATAAGTAAAAAAAATTAGTTGCAAAATATCTTATATAGGTAGGAATGCATTTAATAGTTCTGCAAAAAATTTATGAATCCAATATATATAGTGGTACTATATAGTCAATTAATTGGAAAAGAAAGGGTGAAGAGGTCCATATAAACTCTATTTCTCTTTTCTTTTTATGGGGATACTTAATTGGTAATATATAATTATCGGTTACATTAATTAATAAATTCATCTACCACTAGACAACGAGTGTGTAATTCGTTAATAGAAAAGAAATATCATTTCCGTCCCAAAATACATGTTATATTTAATTTTCTTCTATAGTTAAACTATATGAATTTTAATTTATTATTATTTTAAATGTATTTTCATCATATTAATAGTAGAAGAATTACAATTTATACTATTTTCATATAATTTGTAAATAATAAATTTATCTAATCCGACTTTACTCCTATAATCCTATTTTATCAATGGTTTAATGTATTAATCAAAAATCTTAAGACTCTCAATATATAAAGTAAAATTTCAATATTTTAAACCATTTATAGGTGTGATTTGACATATAATTAAAATCCCAAATGAGTATTGGTTATTATATAGTACAAACATGAATAATAATATACTCTTTTGTTATAATTGAGAAATTCTTGGACATACATAAATAATATAGATCCTTAGGTTAATTGATGCATAATTCAAAAAATATTGACTACCAAATTCGATGTCTATATCCTTCTTCATTTAAATAGCATACTTCTTTATGCTATAAAATTAAAGTTTATGGCATACATCTAACTCACCGATCTTAAATTTAAAGTTAATGACATGTGTCTAACTCACCAATGTTAAATTTAAATAGGACTATATTATTGATGTGTTCATGCAAAACCAATAATCAACAAAAGAGTGATTATGCCTAAATTATTGGCACACGTTATGGTGACGGCAATTAGTTGACTTTGACCATTGAAATTTAGGAACTGTGGGCCACTTCTCTTGTACACACCCACGTGTTTAAATCTTAGCGCTATTGGATAATATAAAAATTTATCTATTTTTCTTTGTTCTACTATTAAAAGCTAGAGAAAAAAAAAGTTGATATGGGTCCACATGTCGGCATCATTGGACTTGTAATTTATTTTTTTTAAAATTATTTAAAAAAAAAACTTTTCCAAATGGTGTCAAGTATACACATTAAAACTATAATTAATTCGAATACGCGGTGTGTAACACACATTTAGAAAGAAAGTGTTTCCTAATGGGATTCTTTTTACATACTAATACTCTGATTCAATTTCTAATTAAGAATTGAGAAATTTGATTCATTCCATAGTAACTTCAAGGGACCTATTATAATTAATCATGTAAATGAGGAGCTAAAGTCACTTTAAGATTATTTTCTAAAAAATAATAATTGTGGATATAGGAGTCAGGAGAATTGGACTACGAGAATCATATTCTCACTAACAAAATAAAATTTCGATAAATAAAATAACTTGATATTACTACATGCGAAAGATAATTGACGATTTAAGCAACGAAGACTTATTAAAAAACAAGAGTGAAAGCAATATAACATCACAAATTTTTCCCCATCAAACATGAAACACATATTTATCATATTCAAATTCCGAATTTGACTCACTTGCTTTATTTTTTATCAAGGAACGTGTATAGGTGCATGAAACCAAGAAAATAATGTGGAAAATACAAATTGTATATTGTAATGTCACAAAATTTGGTGTGATATTAACATGAGCATATGTAGGTGTTGTCAACATGATGTCTGGAAGTAGATGAACAAGCCACGACCGACATATATGGTGTTTGATATTCATGTGTAGGAAAATATTTCTAGTTAGATAAGAAATTAATTATGTTGTCTTTGACATGATACCTATTTCATTTTTCTTGCTTTTTAAATTTGAGAGATTCATAATTTGATGTAGTGGTTGCAAAGTAAAATATTACACATACAACTCTCATATGTAATGTGAGATTAGTATAAATATACTTTTAAAGATTTTGAACTACTTATATATAGTTCGAAGTAAAAAACATTAGGAATATTTACACATGCTGCATGCACAAGGAGGTAGGTCAAGATAAATACTTACCGGCATAAGATGTTTACACTTTATACTTAACTAAATAATTAATTTTAAGAATCAATAAATAGACGACTGCACTTTTTTTTTTGTTTCCCAATCAGTGTCCGCCTGATACCCACATTGGAGCTCAAGTATTTCAGATTCACGCCATACAGGGCCCCGGGGGGGGGGGTTGCACTCATTTCCATTCTTAAGGCTCTAACCCGAAATCTCTGGTGAAGGAATGAGCAGCCCCGCACCACATCCGTTGATAGTGCACTTTCTTTTTCCTTGTACAGTTTCTATATTGAGAGGCACATTAGTCAATATTTTCGTCTAGAAATTCCTGAGATTTTGATTGAAAGTAAGAAAATGTTTGGTCTAATTTGACAATGTAAGGATATTTCCTGTTGATGAACCAAATGTGAAAATGATTAGTTAGGATACCTAACTTTATTGGGCATAATTTTGTATGATAAAATCAGCTCATTGAAACTGAAATATTCGGTGGAACAATATTGCATTTGCTTCCATATTCTGGAGTCAAAACATTGTGCTTTTCATGTTAAAAAGAATTAAGTTGAGATCATTAATAACACTTTGTTGTCTAACTTCCTTTTAGGACTGCTTAATCTACTTTTCTGTAACGTCCAAACCAGTTTGACACACAAGTGTCAAATAACTCTATCCACCAAGACTTGCGTCCATAGGAAGTAACTTCATTGACCAAGACTTGCGTAGATAGGAAGTAACTTCATTGACCGTCTCTTGTGTGGAACTCATGCCGTAGCTTAATCGGTTATCATAAGCAATCCTTTCAATGGGATAACAACATCAGCAGGCTGAGGTTTCTAGACAGATAAATTCAAGTACTTGCATTACAGGAGTAGAGAGAAGGAGAAGTTGCAATGAGTTAATGAACAAGTTAAGGTTCAACTAAGATGAGAATCATGAAAACTAGAAGCTTTCTTATTAGTTGTTATGAATAAGGAGAAGCTCAAAATAGTATACCTGCAATTCCTAGAAACTCCTTTGTACAAGATTAAGTGCTAACAGAGAACTAACAATAAGTACCAAAAAAGTGCTGTAAATAACTGAACCAAAAGTCAGTTACAAGACCTTTAGTCACAGCACAAGGTCATCGTGTGACCATCCAAAAGGGCTTTTGATCACTCATTAAGTCAAGCTCTTGGTGTTTTGCTTCCTTGACTACCTATCTGGCATCCAGGCCTAATATAGCAACTGGCTAGCAAATCATTGATGCATCACTTAATGGTAATGTAGCGATTTGTACCATGTTTAGCCCAATAAGTCTTGAGATCAATGGGCATAGACAGATCACGGTCAGCTACTGCAAACCTTGTAAGCAATCTGCTAAAAACGCTTCCACTCATTTTCCTACCACCTAAACGAGCATGTCGTTTGTTTGGCAATTGTGGTAGTGGATACTCTGACAGATATGTAGTGCAGCAAGATGACTGCCAGCCCCCACTTCCCCATTTGTAACACTGCCTTGGTATTCCTGTACATGTGCAAACAGGTATTTGCATGGTAGACTCGTCAAATTGTATCTGGTCTATCGAGCCAAGATCCTGAGCATCCCATTCAGCTTTAGATCCATCTGTTGTAAGATGCCGATTCAAATCTTCATTCACTTTCTTTGTCTTCGTTGAGGATTTTGCTGACTTTGTTGACATGCCTTTGTTTACTTTTGACCGTTTTACTTGGAGTGCTTTTGCAGCTTCAGATGATATGGCTGATATAGGAAAAGCATCAGCTACGGGAACATCCCTATTGATACAAACAGAATCCGTGTTATAGTTGCGATGATTTTTAGGTTGCTCAGGGCGCTTTGTCCCACGTGTCCTACAACCCAATGAGCCATTCGTGGTACTTTCAAGAAAGTGGAGGGCAGCTATTGCATTGTCCCTTTCTTTTACGGCAGTATCTCGCTCAGCAAATGCGGTATCTCGCTGCTGGATTGCAAAATCTCGCTCAGCGTATGCTTCCTTCTTTTCAATCACTGCTCTATCCCGTTCTTCAACAGCAGCATCTCTTTCAGCAAAGACCATTCTGATTTTTGTATTCATGATGAAAGCCTCTTGGTCCTTCATCTGGTAAGGAGGTACCACGTTCCACTACAGTGAAAGTAATAGTAGTGAACAACATTACTACTGATCATGATGTCAAGATATATTTTTAAAAAAATTGAAATATATTAAGCATTCTTGTTATTGGATGATTCATTATATTCAGTAAATTCTTGCAATGTATTCAGTACATTCCCAGCTAGCTTGTGATTAAGGTGTAGTAGTTGTATTGCCTTGACCTTTCATAATAATTGCACTTTTCTTACCGGTGCATAACCTCCTTTGGAATAATCCATTCTGTGTCTCCTATTTTCTCGTTGGCCTCCGTCGTCCATCTTATCTGTCGTGCTTGAAGAGGAGCAGACTTGTATCTGCTTCTATATAGTACCTTCTGGATCCAATATCAACTAGTTCACCACCCAACAGTCATCCTGCAAAAATAAAGAGGGGAAGGAATAAGAAGGTTGCAGAAATGTTTTTTCCACACTAGCTATTGCAATGCCGATATAATAAAATAAACCATCCATTAGTGAAACAGATGAAAGTTTCAATCAATTGTTCAAACATACAAAAGCAAATTGGCATAACATAAAAGCACGGTCTCACGGATGCTTGTTCTTTAAAGAGCCGTCTGTCAGCAAAAAAAACTAAGCAAAAAAAAAAAAGAGATTTTATGACTATACTCAGTAGCAACAGCGGCCATATAAATAGTGCATCGAGCCTTTTGAAAACTAAGCATCCCCAAACACAGACAATCCTCAAGCGGTGCTTAAGTCTCAAGGTACGACCCACTTTCATGCAAATAGTAGGTCAAAATGACAACAATATTTGCAAGAGGAAGGTGTATCTAAGGAGTAGATATGACGGAAGGCGGTCTTCTAGTGCTTGATAATGAAACATCTTTCCATACAGCATACTACCAAGCCAAAGGGACAGACTTATCTTTCTGAGTAACCCAATTTACTAGGAATTTCCTCCTCCCAAATAATGCAAGAGGAAATGTATATCTAAGAAACAGACTTGCTTGAGAAAAAGAAAAGAAATGTTTTTCCTAAAATGCACAAATGAGGAGAGATCACTTTTATAGTAGCAGGAAGATGTAGTCACTGTGCAGTCACCTGTATTCATTATCCTTCCAAATAAAAATCTTCATAATGTTACACCTTCTCTCTCCACTCTTAGGCCAGTTGGTTCATATTATAATTGTCAACTTAGTTACTGCCAGTATACATGTCTTATCGCAGATTAGAGTTGACAATATATCCTGAGCACATACAATAAAAATAGTGAAACCTTCACTTCAGAGACAAAAATTACAAAAAGAATCACCTCTACTGCAAGAAAAGAAATCGAGGTTTGAGATTACATATTAATGTTAATGAATTCTGTTGCCATCACATATATAAAAGAAGAAGAAAAAGAAATAGAGAACAGTGATATGGCACGAAAAGTCAACTCTAGTGGAGGCAAAACGGTAAGCAAGAAAGGTGGGAATCTGCATCGAAGATTGCAACAAAACATAAGGTTGCTTGTGCTAGAGGAAACAATGCCAGAAAGAAACATATCACAGCCATGACATGTATGTTCACAATAACCACTGACAAAAAAGGGGAAAGAGCATCAATTTAGTATACCAATAAGCTATATGTCAGAGAGAGGAGGAGAGGGATAAACTTCGCATATCCAACATAATCTCTGCTGGTTGCTGCTAAAAAAGTCAGTGATTATCGGATGAGGCTTATCAGGAGACATAAGATGGCAAAATAGAACAATGGAGCAAGCACAGGAAAAAAACTGATGTTAGATTCAATCTCAAGAGGTTGCTGGAATTTTTTGCATATGCTTCCCATTCAATTTGAGCTTTCATTAATTCAAGATTGAACCAAAGACCTGCCAACTCCATAGTATAGCTAACCATTGGATAAAACGTTACTTGGTTATTCTGATTTAAAATAATTTCAATTGGCCTAGTTGATCAACTAGAGAGATTCCAATATACTAAAATGATGAAAATTTACAAAGCAATACAGAACCAAACTTCATAATTCAAGTTTCCTTAGGCTTAAACTTCATCCTTGAATTAGGAGAATCGAGCACTCCTAACTCTGATCATCTGGAGTAATCTAAGTTGACACCGTGCACAAGCTAGCATCCAATCTCACATATCCATTTTGTAATACTCCCAAAAGCAGCAAAGAGAAACTGATATTTCTAAAATCAACTAACTAACAAGTTCTGAAAAAACTAAGGTGAATTGTTTTAAAATATGAAATAAAAGCAACCATAACCTTAATAAAGGTCATTCAATGATTAAAACAAACGACAATATAATAGTTACATTGATTATATTTGTGTTCAAAGATCCACTTAATATGTACAACCAATCTATTAAGCCTTGTAAGCTGCATCTTTTAGAATACCGAACCCATAAACTCAAAATCCTAACTCCCCCCTCTGGATTAAGAACCCATACATTCCATTCAAGTGAAACAAAATTTAGAAACTCACAATGAGTCATCAGAATAAATAGTAAACCTACCATTAAATTAGCAAGGATTGACATGACTAAACCAATCACTGGGGTGTAGCCAAGGCCCAAGGGTGGCGTGTTGAACAATATATTTATATATATCAAATATCACGTCCTATACATATATATTAAATGTTGAATACCTTAAACGAAATTCCTGGCTTTGCTACTGAATTTAAGTACTTGCAGAAACAGTGAAATTAGACAAATTCATGACTACAACATCACTTTCTCGAAACATAACATCAGCAAAACGGATAAACTAGGGTTTGAACTTTCAAACACACACAAAAACAACACCGACGTAGCAATAAAGAATGCTTTAGTAATATGCTGTGAGTAAAAAACAAAAGAGAGACTAAATTATAGAAATTGATTGAGAATGAATAACGGCGAGAAGAAGGTGAAGATTGGAGAGAGAAAATTACCGGCGAATTAAAACGGCGAGAGAAGTATGATCATTAGCGAATCGCCGGTGAGTGAAAACCCTTTTCCGAACCCCTCCACTGGAATTTAATTATGTTTGCTACAACAAATTGTTCTTTTTATATTTTATAATAAAAGAAAAAGATTAATTTCATTTTTGAAATATAAACATATTTTAAGAGCAAAAGTCATTGTCCTTTTTACATATATAAAAAAAATAAAAAATTAGAACTTCTCAAGAGATTTGTGATGTAACCTCCAATAATTTGTGGGTGCTTTGATACAAGAGAAAATAGTCTGAAAAATACTTTAATTTTGGCCGAAATTGTTGTTACGATACTAAATTTTATGGAAGACCTTTTATCCCTGCACTATTTAATAGTGTATTTTAAAGATATATATGTGTCCACGTGAACACATTACTATTTATAATGATACAATATTTATGATGTCCACGTGGGCACATATACCTTTAAAATACACTATTAAATAGTGCAGAGGGGTAAAATGTCATTTCTAAAGTTCGGTATCGTAACAACAATTTCAATCAAAATTTGAATGTATTTCAGACTTCTTTCCCTTGATACAAATACAATAATAAAAATTTATGGCAACTAAATGCTGGAAAAAAAATCATTATTTCTCTTGAAACTTATTTATAAATAAATCGCTTAACTTTTTATTTATAGCATAAGAAAAGTAGGTGCAAGAGACTTTTTACGAAGTTGTTATTAGATTTTTAAAAAGCTACTTGCAACGTATCTTTTTGAAGTTTGAACTACGTGCAAGTTGTCTATTCGATTGCAAGCTTAACGAAATTGCTTCAAGGCTACATGTTTGAGATACTTACAATAGGTCTGTTTGATTGCGAGTAGGGATATTTTATTAGGCGATTTAACTTACTGATTAACGATCTTAAATATACTAATTTGTTAATCTAATTAATATGATAGCGATTGATTTTCTCTGAATTTGAAGATTATTGACCTATTTATCAGTCAGTTAACAAGGTTAATGAAGAAAGAAAGACTCATAGTTGAATCTGCTTATGTGGAGCAAATATGGGCCAAAACATGACACTTTCAAATTCAATATTTTGGGAAATGGAAAAATTACTTAAATAGGTACCTTTTAATTAGAGCTGTCAAAACATGACACTTTCAACCCAACTCTTAAATTATATGGGGTTGGACTTAATTTTTTCAGCCCATTTAAAAATGAGGCTTTTTAGTCCAGCCTCATTTGGCCCGCTGGCTCGTAGGCCCAACCCGCAAGCCTCAGAGGTCAGCCCGTGGGTTGTGAATTTTAAAAATATTTATTATATATATTTTAATTAATGTTTTATTTGTTAAGATTTTGTCAATAAATATTTTTAAAATATCAATATAAAATCAAGACTATCTTCTTTACATATCTTTTACATTTTAGGGCCATTAGCCCACTAAATTTTATTATTAGCTCAAGTCCATTACTCCATTATAACTATGAATCTTTGACTTCTTTTACTTTTGTTGTTTATGCCTAATTTTCCACTTCTCCTTTATTGTCTTGTTTATGAAAATAGTGATCATGTAATGTTATTTGCTCGGATGAATCTTATGAATGTTGTATTTTGGCTATTATGTTTTTGTTTTGTAAATATTCACTGAAGTATGTCTAATATATGAATGAATTTTTGTATGTATTGATGTCGTGTTCATCAGATATTAACGTTCATACTCTTTTTAAGAGGGAAATATTGTCCATTTTTTTGTTGAAGAGTCAACCCGTCCCAACCTGTGGCCCGCTTAGGACTGGATTGTACTGCTATTTTATAGGGCCTATAATTAAAAGGGTCAACCCGCCCCAACCCATTTAACTCTCTTGCCCGTTAGGGTTGGGTTGGGCAAGCTTATTTTGACAGCTCTACTTTTAATAAATAATTACTCATTATAACAATACTTTTTATTTATTACCATTTATAGCAACATATAGCAATGATATGATAAATTTGCAATATGTATTAAAAGTAAATTATGTATGCAATATATATGTATTATAACTGTTTTAAAATATAGTCGAAATGATCTAATGGACCCTTATACTTGTACGAGTTTGTATTATGATCCCTTTTACTTAACCCTTTACCAATTAAACTCTTAAGCTCAATCAAAAGAAGATTTTTACACCCCTCATACCATGTGTGTAGTTCACTTTCTCTTAAATAAATGACATGTCAAATCCACGTCATTTAAATAATAACATGTCATAATTATATTCATTAATTAATTTTTAAAAATTATTAATTAAAATTTTTAAATAATAGGTTAAATAATCTTTTAACTCAACATTTTTAATTAAATAAAATAGTCTTAACTCCTAAGCGCCGACGTCTTCCTCCTCTTCTCCTCTCCCATTCCCATCGTGAAACAGTAGTGGCCACCAACAAAGAAAGCTGCCGCCGCCACCACCTATTTTCTCTTCCTCACCATCTCCGTCTCCATCGCACACCCTCGCTATTTTCCTTTCCTCATTCCCCGACATTCACAAAACCAGCAGCCCTAAGTCGTCGCACCACCGACAAACCTCTTCGCCTACGTGACCAAATCCTCGCATCCTTACTCGCCTCATTTCCTCTACACAGTCTTCGTTTCTCCGAACCACCAACGACAACCCTTGAACCACTAATGACCCCTCTTTTCACCATTTTCTCCGGCGTACCAGGATGTCACCACTACCCCAACACCGCCTCCGTTCTGGCGAAAAAATGGACCAACAATGAAGAAGACGATTTCTTATATTTTATAATTTTAATTTTTTAAAATTTAAATGTAATATCACTCGCTTGTTGAGGCGTGTAGTCATATACTCTTGCCAATTCAATCATCTTAATGCCACATAAGCTTAGTCAACGGTCAGAGGGGTTTAATATATGGTATTTTACTGAGTTTAAGGGTTCAACTGATAAAGAGTTAAGTAGAAGGGTCCATAATACAAACGCGTATAAGTATAAAAGTCCATCAGACCATTTCGCCTAAAATATATTATGCTTGTTTGGTAAGAAATTGACACATTGTATTATAAGTGTATTAAAATGTGTGATAAATATAACATTCATCAATAAAACTTGTATTATAAATATTATATAAATTATTCTCTATAATATGTAGAGTTGTCAAAAAGGGTCGACCCAGCCCCATAAATCCCAAGCCTTGCAGGGCAAGGAATTTAAAAGGCTAGAGCAGACTGACCCTTTATTTAGAAAGGCCTGAAAAGGCTCAACCCAACCCTACCCTAGAAGGGCCGAGGGTTGGGGCGGGCTAGCCCTTCTTTTTTCATTTTTTTTCTTTTCAAACTTATAATTCTATAACATCAAGAAAATGAGAAGATTTTCAAATCAAATATGGCAAACAATGGTGTTGTTTCAATAACAATAGCAAAAAATAGAATATAATTGCATGTATCTCGCATACCATATACGCAAGCGAGATAAGAGAGTGACAAGATGAGAGGGAAGCGAGGGCGCGAGATTTTTCTATGTATCCTAGATACATGCGAATCTACTTGGATAGAGTGTATCTAGAACAAATTAACCTAATTTTGAGTCCATATATTTCGAGATACATGTATTTGGACGTACAAAAATCTGGTAAGATTCCTAATATTACAACATAGTGTGTATTTAAGTAATTATATTATATACTAGTGAGATTATTGTAAGTTACCCTTAAATAAAAAGTTTTGGCCCATGGACCGACCCTGGCCTGTCCCCGATCAAGCCTCAAGGGCCAAGGGCTTATATGGGCCGGGCTTATAAGCCCTAGTTTTAAATGAGCTTGAAATTTTTTATCCCAATCTTACTCCAATAACGGGTTGGGTCGGGCCGGCCCCGTGGGCTAACTCCGTTTTGATGGCTCTAGTAATATGTATTAAAATTGTATTATAAATATATTAAAAGTGATCAAGTAAGAAAATATTATTGATATAAATGATAAATATTTACTTAATATAGTATATTTATGTAAGTTTCCCGATTGGACTTGCTTTGACAGTTTGAATTTGTACATCCTTTCTTTATTTACAAACCTTATCGTTTTACTTATTTATTTCATAGACAAAATAAGCAAAAACACCTCACATATTACAATATTAAGGTCCTAAGAAATTCTAGAGAAGAGGACAAATGTATCCCCTTAACTCTATAGAGTTTTGAAATTTCATACAAGGCTTCTAAAATTTTCTGAAACTTAGATATAAAAAAGGTATAAATGTAATTTAATTATTCTTTACAGATTAATAATTAATTCGATAAGAAAATTGAATAATTCATATCCCGTATTATTAGATATGTAATTATAAATTTTACTATGTTTACCAGTCATTAATTCGATAGTATACTATATATATATATATATATATATTTGTTGTTAGGTTAGCAATTACGTTCCAATTTTGAACAACCCTAGTTGCAACAACTAGACATTCCAGGAAACGAATGCCCCGCTTAATAAAAATAGGATACAATCACCGACCGGTGAAAGGAAAGAGTTGGATCAACCATCGACAAAGGAATATCGAACTCTACCCGTTTAAAGTCTCGTAGCCAGGAGAACCATAGAATCAGAGAGTTATATTATAACATCGGTATAAAGGTCGAGAGGACACCTAAAAATAGCTTTAGAAGCCAGATTAGAGAAGTGTTTCCTGAGTTCGAGCAAACACAATGCGACATCTAGACAAAAAAGAGTGGGGACACCGGTGGAAAACCAAAAAAAAATAAAAAAAAATGAATATTCGTTTCAAAGCCAACCAAATTTTTTTTGGACCTCTAGAGTTTTGAAGCTTTAGAAGTACAAGAAGTTATAGGTTTTTGTATCAACTTCAAATATAAACACTTTCTTTTTCCTAAAATTCTATGTTAATTATGAAAAATAAATAATATTAGTATGATAATATATGAATTAAGATTAACTCAATCCTAAATTTTCTCACCTGGGGTAGTTTGCAAGTTCATTAAAAAGTAGACATATGTTAAAAAAAAAATCTAAAAATATATCAATTCTCTTGAAAAATAAAGAATTATTAGTGCTCCACATTAAAATATTAAGATTATTTTGAGTTAAACG